TAACTCAGTGGACCACTTACCCCGATTATGTGTCCCACGAAGCAGTCAGCTGTCCATACACAGCAGATATGTATGTTCAGCCTATGTGTCCCAGTTACACACTGGTTGGACCTTCATCTGTTCTGACTTACACTTCTCAACCGCTGATCACCAATTTTGCAGTAAGTCAAAAATACCTAGGTATAAATGACAGCAAATTCTCCACCTTCTAGCAAGAGCCAGGGGGAGTGCTGGGTGTAATTAGTATAATTTACTTAATTACTATAATGTTGTGTGTCTTTGCATCCATGCCACATAGTTGTTCTAGCACTGGCCCTGTCTGCACTGTGCTGGACATTAGTATGGTTTAAGCAGGACAAAAAGTTGTGGTTGCACTGAAATCAGGCATACTTCACTGCTATTTCCCCAGCTCTCTGCACTCCTCTAGACTTTCCACCTTTTTAACACGTATACTGTTCTTTGCTGTTGTCCTGGGAAATGAGTCATCTCTCATCAAGTCAGCAGCAGAGCTGCCATTGCCCTGAGTTTGTTCAAGTCTATGAACAGTTATTTACAGCAGGGAAATACTATTTGCAGCTCAAGGATAATAATGGGGAATGTTACATTTACTGCTGTCACCACTTCCAACTTAAGGAGCTGTTCTTCAGCTTGGATTTGGAATACCTGGGGAAGCAGAATTGAAGTCGTTCACTGAGTGGATGCACATTATAGTCAATAAATGCTGTTGTCTGGACAAGTACTTAGGGGACAGTCCGACCAGACATCTGAGCAGTATCTAGGGATTCCTCACTATTTGATTCCAAACTTAAAAAAATAAAGAAGTAGTAAATGGGATTCCAGGAAACACATCCACCAGGTGAAGCAGGAAGAATGACTTGGCAATACATTTCTCAAACATTGCTATTTAAACACGGAAGAGCAAGGCCAAAATAGCATGTAAACATAGCAGAATCTTTGGTTTCAGGCTGGCCAAAATCTGTTTGGCTGACCCAAGATGATTTGTTCTTCCTTAGAGGAGAAGGGCAGAGAATTCTGTTTCAATTGAACTCAAGCAGCTTATTTTCCTTTCAATGTTTCAGTTCAGCTGCTGAAACTGACACACCAAATCAGCAAAGGCCCATGCCTGTGTCCTGTGGCCTTCACTGGTGAGGAAGGGCTATTGTTTCAAATGTGGCTCTGCCGTGGTTGACAGGGGCTGGTCGGAACGGACTGTCGCAGAGGCCAGAATAAGCTGCCTTCAGCCTTGTGGCAGCAAATTCGTGCCCATGCATTCAACTTGCAAGAGAGACTGTCAAAGAAGGCAGTTTTCAGCATAGGGTGTAACTGTCTCATGGGCTTACAGTGAGGGCGGGAGTGGGAACAGAAAGCTAGAGGGAACTTGACATGAGTGTGAGCCACTGGCAGCAAGCACCTGGGACACCCACAGCCACCGCTCTCATGGGAGCCAGCGTGGGAAAACTGTCACGCTCAGTATAACGCTTTACCCAGAGAGACAGGAAAAGGGATGTTAAAAGTGAGACTGAGCATCCTTAGTCTGTTGTTTTGTGTCCTCCCCCCGCCCCACCTGGCCAATTGTTTTATTTTGTTTTATTTCTCTTCTATTTTAACAGCCCCGAAGCACCACCCCCGCTGTAGTGCCTCAGCTCGAGGTGACGGATCAGCAGCCACCTCTCACGTACTTCCCATGGGCACAACCCCTCTCTGCACTGCCAGCCTCCACTTTGCAGTACCAGCCAGCTTCTTCCACGCTTTCTGGGCCGCAGTTTGTGCCCTTACCGATCTCCATTCCTGAACCAGCCCCCCAGGAGCTGGAGGATGCCAGACGAGTCATCGGCACACTGCCCATTGAGAAGCTGCTTCTAGAAGATGAAGACAATGATACGTATGTTTTAAACCATGCTCTCTCTGTTGAAGGGCTTTAAGTTGCACATCTGGGGCCTGATCCTCACCTACTCAATACTCCACCTGGCACCACAGTGAGTTTTGAGTACAGAGGAAAAGCAGGCTGGGGGGTGGGGTGGAAACTTTACTTGCGATTTTGGTGTCCACCTCTAGCACACCATGACTTCTGTGTTGTGTGAAACTTGCTTTGTCCTGGGGCCCAGCACAAGATTTCTCTGCTGTTACAGCTCCTGCTACCTCTCCCAGGTAGGCTTTTGATACTGCATAGTTCTTGTGCTCAGCATCAGCACAAGGTGACTTTCCTCCTCAGACACAGGGCATGGTTTCAAATTGACATACTATAGTGTAGCCATGGCCAACTGTAGCACTGGTGAGGGTACACTTGCCTCTAAATATTGGCAAGACCTAGTTCAATAGGACTGCTTTCCAGAGCTCAGTGTAAATGCCTTGTGTGTGTGTGTATTTGCCCTGTCCATGGAGGAACTTCTACCTGATCTAGGCCACCAGAAAATATTTTTGGGGCCTAAATTGACATTTTTCTTTCCTAAATTGAACTGCTCCTTTGGAAAATAGGAAAATGTAAAGCGTAGTTTTGTTCTACTGGTGCAGGTAGGTGCATTAGTCTGAAGACAAAAAGTCAATACAGCAGTCAGACATCCCTATTTACAGAGCAACACAAAGTAGCCTAGGTGGAAGGTTTGAGTTCACACAAAGGTGTAACTTTAAGGTCTCACCTTGTCTGCCATTGGAAAACAGCCACGTAGGTGTGGGACAGTGGCTTGGAGTCATGGTCTTTCAGCTGCAGAATGTTTTTGGACTCTAAGATATCCACCTTCGAGATGGGGGGCTGATTTTGTGACTGGCTGGTAATGCTGCATGTTCTACCAATGGACAGATCCTGGTCCCACTGAAGTCACCGCGAGTTTTGCCTGAGTCAGGATTGCAAGACATGGCCTTATATCAGGAGATCATTGAGAAGACAGGGTCTTCCAAAATCTGGACTTCAGTCTAACAAGGAATTCATGGCATTACTATTATCCGGCAATACTTTTGTTTGTTCTGTAGCATTTGAGTGTGAAGTCGGTGATGTCGTGCTGAGCCAGGGAACCTTAGTGACCTCCCTTATGCCTTATTTCTATGGAAAGTTTCTCTGTGCTGTAGTCTCCCAGGCCCACAGGTGCACACCTTTTCCTTATAGCTTTCTGATTTTCTTTCCTGGAGAATGAGTAGCTTTACTTTTTCCTCTGATGCAACTGTAAATATTATTGTTGATGTTCAGGAGTGCCATGCCACAGGTAAATATATTTGTAGGAGATATATCCCCTTCTAACTCTGTTTATTGTTTTCTTAATAAACAAGGGACTCTTGGTTGGTAAACACAATTTCTCTGGGTTTTTCTGCTTTCTAAAGCCCAGGATCCTTAGGTGATTTTTTTATTTGCAAGACTAACTGCAAAATAATTTATTGCATTTTTTATTACCTGGTATCCAGCAGTCCAGTTGCCACCCAGGCAATATTTTAAGTGACCTTACTGTTTAAGCCTGAGTGAGGTTTGCAAGCTCAGGTTGACAGTCTTGAGGACTTTCAAAGCATATTTTGTTATTTAATATTGACAAATCTGGAAGACATAAGCAATAGATCATGTAAGTGATCATAAAGTTTTTTGGAAATAGCAGTAGTTCAGGCGCATTGAAATTAGTGGCTTACCTTTGCAGAAAAACCCAGCAAAGAAATTAATTAGAAGGAGCTTAGTTCACCACTGCTTACTCCAGTTTTATAAGTACAAAGACATTCAGTAGGTAAAACTGGGATAATGCAGTTGTGAATCAAGCCTGTGGTTGCTAAGATTGCTTTTAAATTTCTTTCACTCCAATGTATGTAAATTCTGTGTGTGAATATAAAAAAATGATGAACTGTTTCAGAATTTCTTTCTGGGTTGTTCTGGTTAGAAAAAGACAAAATCTTTTTCAATAAAGATCTACAGTAACTTTCATATGCCTAGAGTGTTTTATTTCCTATCCAAAAGGGTAACCCAACATTGGTTTAGCAATCAATTAGTTCAATAACATATGTACAGGCTAGAACCACAGATGAGCTGTTAGACTTTCTGCTAATTTTGCACATTAAGGCAGACTAAGGAGGAACTCCATGATCCAATTATGGCCTGGAGGCACTGTTTACTCAAGCAGTCCTTACTCACAGAAGCACTCCTGCAGTTCAGATGTTAGTTCAATCACTATTATCCTCTATTGCCATCCCTGGGGATGTGTGGGTGTGCAGCCACAGCTAATGCTGAGCTTGAATGAAAATCAGACTAGCCATAAAGTTGCGTTTCTACTCCTGAAATTGCAAGGTATGGCTCTGTGGTACAAAATTACCTGAGGAAAGAAACGACTGCATACCACCTTCTGACTAAAAAGTATCAAATGTTGCTGTCTGGAGCGAAACAAACCCAGGGGCTGGTACGACTGCCTGTAGGATGGTCTCCTCCATTCCAAAGGCAAATTGCAAAGCTACCCGTGCATGCCTGGCATCCTTGCAAATAGGACCTGGGGGAATGGAAGTGGCGAGTAGCTCTATGTCATTCTCTCCAGCTCCAGTCATAGAGCCAGGCAACCAAAGTGAAGCAGTGAAGTGTTTTCCCCACTGCTAAGGGCCATGTCACCAGCAAGCCCATAACTGCTATGGGTTGTGACAAGTCTTTGTCATATGCGCAAGATAAGGACTCGTTCCCTCTCACCAGTACTTTTGATAAAGTAGAGCTTAACAGGCTGCTTACAAATACACCATTTAGAAGAGGCTGTTTGCTACCCCGGATGGTGAGATACCACCAATGCGTACAAGGCTGTATCACCCCACAAGCGATACATACATACAATATAGTCCGCTGGGCCCTAATACTAGGCTTTGTGGAGGACTTAGCTACCTCCCAGCACATGGGCGACTCTCACCTGAAAGAAAGTGCTGAAGTGGAAAGGAGACAGCATGTCAAAGCTCAGGAGTGCTGAGGACTCTTGAAAGCTGCAGTTATTTTGAGTTAGGAAGACCTTTCCATGGGAGTGGGTGCTTTCAAGGTCAAGCCCTTTGGTGCTTATGGCATGGTTTTGTGGAACACTGGGTATAAAACCCCCAAAGCGGCTATGCTACCCTGTAAAACTGTTTGCTCCCAGGGTGGTTCATGGCCAAGCAGTGATCGGTGTCTTTATTTACTGTCTTAGAATTCTACATATTTATGCAGCTAAAGGTATGAGGGCGTATACATTGGCAGCTGCAGAGCGCATGAAATTGCTGCGAAGACTTGATGCCAAGGAACACAGAGGAAAGGTAATACGGACCACTTTCTCCTGCAAACAGTGGTGTTTGGGATGGGCATGGGCTTTGCATGACTGAGAGGAATTGACACCCTGAAAAATCCAGCTGTCTCTCTGTTACTGCAAAGGAAGCCTTGGGCATTGATATGCCTTGCTTAGGTGCCTCTGGGGGGCACCCCTCTCCTAAACTTAGGGGGGATGAAAATGAGTTTTTTCTCTTTTCAGCCCGTGGTTCATAGAGTGATCTAAGACAACACTGGTCCAGGAAAACATGTGTATGTTGGCAGTAGTCTCTGAGGCTGAAGGTTTTATGAACAACAGATTTATGCTAGGAGTGCTGCACCTGACATAAGCAGTGTTTCAAAAATGCTGGACTTGGGTTGTCATCCAAATTAGGGCCAAAGAACACTAGGGGGAGTTTAGCAGGGGCTGGGAAATGCCCCCCATCCCGTGACGGCATGGGTCCTAATATGTGGGATTCAAAATCTGCCTGTGAGCCGTCTTTGGTTTATGCACCACAATCCTTGGGATTCTAGATACCATTCAGCCCAGACTGCCTTCCCCCATTCCTTGTTTTATGATAGCATCTGCTTCTAGACTCTCACATTTTATCTGCTGTGCTGCTGTTTTCAGACTCCTCTGCTGGTGGCTGTCACTGCCAGGCAGCCAGCTATTGTCTATGATTTGATCCAGACAGGAGCAGATGTCAATGCTGTAGACAACAAAGGGCAATCAGCTTTACATCTTGCTGCAACGTATGGGTATGCCCAAGTTCTTCAGGTAGGAAAAGCTTTTATGGTTTTAATTGCTAGCAATATAAACCTACAATAATGTCTTAATATTGGTGTCTTTAAATAACTGTATCAGAAGGCAAGATGTCAGTAAGCAATGAAGACTGACCAAAGACTCCTTTTCCATTGAGTTAGGAATCGACTTCCCAGGTTATTCCTGTTTTAGGACTATACTTGCAGCTAACATCAGCCTCCTGTTACAGAGGAAATGGCTTTAGCGTATCTGTGGGGGAAAAGAAATTCTTTCTGCAGATCATAGCTCTAAACCTGCTGATGGCAGGCCAGGCAGAGTGGGCCCCCAGTGTTGTACTGATGCCTGTGTTGGAGGGGGTTCCCCAGTGGCTGCAGGCAGTTTTAGGGTGTGAGGAGAGGGAGCAATAATACCGGTGTGAAAACCCCTCCCTGATGTGAGTGTCATCCAGACGAGAGCAACGAATTTTGTCCAGACTCAAGCCAGCTGAAGAGAGAGCAGATGTGACCCTGCAGACAGAGCCAGCACAGGCATAGCCTTCAAAATGAGACACATTTTTCAGATTTTATGCAAAACCAAGATCCACCGAGAAGATTTTCCAGGGTGTGAGAGAAACTAGACACTCCTGTATGGCCAGACTCTAGTAAAGCTTTCATGACTTACGTGACCAGATCTTCGCTTCCCTATTGCTTCACAGGTCTTTCTGTAGACAGGGTCTACATCTAAATTGTGTGCCAGCCGGACTCTAACAGCCCTGAAGAGCACACTAGCACATTAGAAAAGGCCCCGTGGGAATTTTTGGGAGGGATTACATAGCAGAGATAAGCATACTGGAATGTGTCTCTTAAATGCTTAGCCATAAAATGGAATTAATAAAATGTGCTTTCCTTGATTCATGTCAGGACTGAGTATAGGCGGCTTCAATGCAGAGTTTCACTGCAGCAGCATGGCTGCTGATGAGTTTACCTGAGGGCAGGGCACAGGGTCCTCTGAGGATGAGGGATGTATCAGTGGAAGTGCCGGGGGTACCTGGCATGCAGGCAGTGCATCTCCAGTATTCAATTAGCTCTGCTTTGCACACGCCCTGGGTTAAGTCATGAGCAAGCAGTTAATGTGTAACATTGCGAGTTCTTTGGAAAACAGGTGTTCCGTTCAGTGGGGAAAAGTGTTTTACATCCAGATGATTCCAACAAAGCCTCCCAGAGTGCCTTGTGGTGGTTTGTGTTGGGTTTGGTTTGGTTTGTTTTTTTTTCCCCTTGACATAAAAAGGGAAAATGCACACAGGCTTACTTCTTGGTGCGGTCAAAGCCATGAAATGCTTTACTGTTTGTTTGTTTGTTTTAATTGTTGTTTTTCTAGTGGATTAAACATCTAATCTCTAATAATCAGGCAGCTCAGAGCTACTTGTCAATATTTGTTCTGTATGTGTTATATTATTGTTATGAAAAGAGAGCACAAGCCCTAACCGTTCTGGATAACCTTTCAGCAGAAGGATTCTGTCCTGTGCCTTGTCTAACTTGACAAGGTTCTGGATGAGTCACTGCACTGCAAAAATTCTCAGCCAAGATGCTGTAATGTGAACAACTTGTTTTATTCAATCAACAGCAAAAAATGCATTATCTGCAATAATATAGACAATAATATAGACTTGGCTGCATCACATCAAATCTATCTTTTACTTAAGTTGAAGAGTTTTAAAATTTTACTCTCTGCTAAATCCAAGCAATGCTCATCTCAGACCACTACTTCATGCCATTTATAGGCTCTGCATCCTCATTGCTGCAGCCGTTGCAACAAGCTGTGGTTTTAACCTGTCACACTGCTGCACATCTGCTGCTCATTAAAAAGAAAAAGTAAATAAATCCAGTCTGAGAATTTCCAGCATCAGCAAAGTTTTAGGTAATAAAGTTTGGCTGTACATGCCAAGGCGAGATTTTCATTTATCCTTGTCAAGAATAACTCAGAATAAATATGAAATGGTATTATTGGTGCCTTTGCTTAATCCAGGTGAAAGCGTGGAGGCTAGCACTCTTGCGCTGGGAGCAGTGACTTAATTTTACTGTTCTGAACTGAGAATCTAATAGGATACTGTACTTAGGTGGGGTTTAGGAAACTAGGGAGCATGATCATCTTCTGTAACCCTGAATGTCCCTGTTAGGAAATAGAGTCACAGCACTGAAATCTAGTGTCGAATAAGGGCTTAGTTTGTAGTTAAATGGTAATTATCTGATTGTTTCTCTGTTTGTTTTTAAATTCTGTTAGTTTTGACTGATTTTGGCTTGGACGGTATTCTGCTGAACTAAAACTTTCCATATCTCTGTTGTTTCTAGGTTATACTGTCACTAGGTTTCCCTCTTGATTTAGAAATGAAGGATTTTGAAGGTAAACCCCTTTGTACAAATATTTTATAGTGGTATTAAAGAAAAAGAAAAACTGTATTGGCTATTTCATTGACTTATGCTCATTGATATTTGGTGGTGTGCTAGGAGGCCAGAGTGGCCTCAGAAACTGCCTGGGGGAGAGTCGTTGCTGTGCATTCAAATGCCACAGAATTCAATGTTGCTGATGATTCAATACACAGCTGAAACTGAGCAGATGCTGGAGTGCCCCATGAAGCGTCTATACAGCCAATATGGTACCTTTGAAACCAGAGAAGGCTTGTGCCTTAACAACACGTGTGCAGAGATGCATACGCTCTCCCTGCCAGCCCTCGCTTCCTCTCTGAACATCAGTATCTTCGCTGGGACTGTTGTTATCTTCCTCCCGTACTTGGTTTTCCAGGCCATACCCCACTCCACTGTGCTGTTCTGGCCCACAATGCCCTGCTCCGGGAGCAGGGTTGCCAGATGTTGACGGAGGAGCAGCAGAAAGATCTTCAGCACCAGAGCGAAGAGCTGGAGTCCTGTATCCACCTCCTGGTGCAGACAGGAGCCTCCATCTACAGCCGGGTAAGGGATCGGCTCGGTTATCCGTATGCTGTTTGTATGGGAACTCTCTCCTGCCCTGCCTGATGCTTGTGCTATGCTCAAACTATAGAATCGGAGAAGGAATGAACTGCTGACAGAAGGACCAAGCCTGTTCCCCTCTCAAGTGACTGGTTGCAGAGTTAGTTGCTGCCTTTTGGAGTTACTTTCTTGCAGCAAACACGGGACAGTAAGAGGGCTGCGGACGGCAAGGAGGTGCTCCACAGTAGCTGCAGAGCTGGCCTGAACTTTTCTCCGATGGGTTTATATAATATCTTCAGGTTGTTCTGCAGAACATTTCTTATTTGTTTGTTTTTTCTGTTTTTAAATAGGATGTGAAAAGCAACAAGACAGTTCTTCATTATACAGTCCAGGATGGGAATATCTCCCTGCTCAGATACTTCTTGGAGCTGAATGCTTTCAAGTCCAAGGACTTTGTCAACAACAAGGTGAGTCAGGCCGCGTGTGGACAGGATTTGCGTGCATATCCACAGGCAGAGGAGATGCTGAGAGCAGTGTGAGAACTGTGCTGTGGTGGGAGGCTGCGTGCAGACAGAGGCGTTAGGAGATCTGTGGGGTCCTGGAGAAACCACTTATTCTCTTCCCACACAGGTTTT